AAAACTCTAAAAAAATATACTACTCAAAACTACTTCAAAATACCAATGGCAATATTAAAAAATCATGGAACATCATGAAAGAAATAATCGGGAAAAAAAATACCAAAACAAATACCTTACCTGATAGAATTGTTGTGGATGAAAAAGAATACAACGATAAAAGTTCTATAGCCGAACATTTCAACAGTTTCTTTGCAAACATCGGCCCTAACATGGCGTCCAAATTTCAATGCCCAAATACCTATTTTGAAACCTATCTTACAAATCAACAAATCGAACTAAAATTCAATGGACTAGACTATGATGAACTCGAAGCTGCAAAAAATTCTCTAAAAATTAACAAAGCACCAGGGATTGATGAGATTTCTAGCAACGTAGTAATAAGTGTCTTCCCGGTGATACGCAAACCCATATTCGAAATTTTTAAATCTTCAATTACAACAGGAACTGTTCCAGACAAATTAAAAATTGCAAAAATTGTACCAATATTTAAATCCGGAGAGCAATGCTCACTTAATAACTACAGACCCATCTCAATCCTTTCTGTCTTTTCTAAACTTCTAGAACGAATAGTTTACAATAAACTATATAAATACCTAACTATTAACAATATTTTGAATAAAAAACAATTCGGATTTCAAAAACAACATTCAACCGAACATGCGATTATAGATCTTGTAAATAAAATAAATGACTCTTTTGATAATAACAAATTTGTTCTAGGAATCTTTATTGATCTATCGAAAGCATTCGATACTGTTGATCATGCTATCCTACTTAAAAAAATGGAAAAATATGGCATTAAAAATGTTGCTTTACATTGGTTTGAGAGCTTTCTTATAAACAGACAGCAATATGTTATTATGGATAAAAATACCCATTCAAAATTACTTAAAATAAAATGCGGAGTTCCCCAAGGTTCCATTCTAGCTCCCCTACTCTTCTTGCTATACATCAATGATCTTCCAAAAGTCTCAAAAAAACTTGATGCCATAATGTTTGCAGATGATACAAACTTATTTTATTCATCTACTTCTATCGCAGAACTCTTCGAAACTGCAGGTATTGAACTTGAAAAACTTAATACTTGGTTTAAATCTAACAAATTATCATTGAGTACAGAAAAAACCAACTACATTCTATTTCACACCAATCAAAGGAAAAAATCTATACCAATTCCATTACCGTCTCTAAAAATAGAAAATAAATTTATCGAAAGAACCAAAGCAACAAAATTTTTAGGAATACTTATCGATGAGAATATTTCATGGAAAGCTCACATAAACTTATTAAATACCAAAATAAGAAACAACATTTGCATGCTTTACAAAGCTAGACCGATGCTACCCCAAAAAAATTTAAAGCTACTTTATTTCTCCTTCATTCAAACCTATTATACGTATGGTAATATAGCATGGGCAAGTACCCATAGATCCAACCTAGTGGCACTTTATCGACATCAAAAACATGCTGCAAGAATAGTATTTAATAAAGATAAATTTACTCATGCCGAACCTTTGCTAAAGCTTCTAAATGCACTAAATGTCTACAAAATTAACATTTACCAAAATTTGATATTCATGCTCAAATATAAACTCGGACTTGTCCCATTACATTTTTCAGAAGAATTTTTTAAATGCAATAGAAATAAATATGAAACTCGAGGAATAGGAAATTTTAAATTACCATATAAAAAAACAAAACTATCACGTTTCTCCATCTCGTATCGCGGCCCTTACCTCTACAACAAACTAATAGCTAAAAATACTATAATTACAAAACTACTTAACCATAATTTTCTGAAAACACTTTTAAAAAAACTTGTTCTAAACTTAAACAATTTTACAAACGTATATTCAAACAAATAACTAAAAACCCCTAAAAAATCCACTTTAAAGCAAAGTAAATGTTAGATTTTATTTATATTTCGTACATGTCAATATACTAAGTATAACAAACCATGTAACTATATATTTATGTGTATCAAATACAGCTCTTTTCCGTTTTTTGTTTTTGATTATCTAGTAGCTTTTTATGTGTGACTCTTATGCCACCATGAGACTTTGACAAACTGAAATTTCTTAATAAATTAAGTATACAAAATATCGCAACTAAAAGCGGTTTCTTGATGACAAGACCAAAATGGTCTTCTGCAAGTTTCCCGCGTCTTTAAACAGTGTTACTTTTTTATATATATTATTATTTGTATTAAAAAAAATTTTCTTATTATATGTACGGTATTTTTTTTATACAATGTAAACGAACTAGTTTATATTTATGATCACGTATTTGTAAAGCTTTGATAAAAGACAAAAAAAAAAAAAAAAAAAAAAAAAAAAAAAAAAAAAAAAAAAAAAAAAAAAAAAAAAATGTGTACATCAAATACCATGTTACTTGTCTATGCCACAAATGGTTAATATTTTGTAAATAGATATTGAAAAGTAAATAAAACGGTTTTCAGTATATAAATTTATATTCACGTAATTATTTGTGTTTTTTCTTATTAGTGAGCTTATGATGTACAGATTTATTTAATGTTTAGCTGCTGCAAGATTTTCGTCGTATGTATCCTGATGCAGCTGATCACTTTGTTGTGTGTATGGAAAATTTGATATCCTCTGTGCTACTTTATTGTTCCAAATCAACAGTTGAATACCTTCAAAAATGCAAACAGAGGGAATGAGTGGAGGATTCAGTAAGTTAATATAAATGTGGTATGAGTAGTGTTTTATGTTAATTTGAGGTTGACTGTTATTAATAAAGATAAATTGCTCATCAATACAGTGAAATTAATCGACTTATTGCATTTTTTATAGATGGAAAGACTATAGCTGCTGTAAAAGCATTGCTATACCTGTTGCCGATGACAGGAAAAAAGCGCCTGACGGCAAAGGAGTCGTTTGATTTGCTGATCGCATATGGGACGGTGAGCATTTTGGATGCATTGTTTTTCATTTTTAAAAAATGTCATATGTATTTCTGCAATATTTTAAATTGTTGCTCTTTTTCTCTTTTAGTAAATAAATCTACAATTTGTCACATAAGAATTATAGTGTTCTATGTGACATTTTCAGGGATTATCTTTTTCCTAATATTCTAGGAATTCCGGATAATTTTTCTCATTTTTTTTCCGGATATTAAAAAAGTTTGCCGTAAATACAAATTTAAGTACCGTATTTTTAGTTGCCCTTCCTTCATTATTGACAATATTTGAAATTTATTATTATGCATATAAGAGCTATGAGTGGCTTTTAAAAAATACAACTTTAAAATAATGTTTAAATAAAAGGATTTGATATAACATTTGTTTACTTAGTCGTTCAAAGTTATCCTGCAAATGGGGTTACTTTGAATATTTTTCTTAGTAAAAGCAAAACATATATTCAAAAACATGAGGAAATTAAGGGAAATTTTTTTGAAAATTAAGAGGAAATTAAGGGAAAAATCATTACGGATTTTTTCCGGATATTTTCCGCAAACAATTTTCTGGATTTTTAAAACATAACCTGGGTGATCTATTTTTCTATGTTGTGAGAATTTAACTATTGATTTTTTATTGTTATAATGTTTCATTATATTAATAAATAATACGTCGTTTTTGTTATTTATCTTTCATAATTAAGCTGTTAATATGATTAATATAATTTTTAATTGTTTTTTTTAATTATACATTATTAATTAAACATTTTTATTAACAAATTTTAACATAAAAAATGCAGATAGTACCCTATAATTCTCATGCGAAGAGTTTTCTTATAAAGTTTTTATTTTGTCAAGTTAACGCTGACTTTGCACTAACTTAAATTAGTATTAATAGCACAAATTGTAAATATTTTAAATTTGTATATAATTGGAAATGTCGTAATTTGTTAACATAAACTAATTGTTTATGTTTAGCCTGGCACTGTTAATTCTATAGATGTTCCACAAAACCTGGCTCATCCAAAGCTATACCTAGAATATTCCTTGAACGATCAAGACAAGATCACTGGGAGAATTGTGTGCGACGGAAAAGTTTGCTTGGCTGGATGTTCAATGGTAGAATGCTTGAATTACATGTTTAAGTTGTTTTGGATTTTCAACTTGGAGTATCTTAGCGGTTTAGAGATGTTTTTTAAATTTTTACAATTTATAATATATAAGTTAACTTTTGGCAAAGAAAGAATGGTTAGGACTGTCAATAGTGTAGCTCGTCTTTTTCAACTGTAGCAATACTAACTAGTGATCAGCACTGAAGGTGTATGAAAGTTGCTTTGTATGGTTAACAGTAGAGTATAGTTAGTTGAATATAAGTGCCAACAAAGTTGTACAATTGCTTCAGTTTTTTTTATTTTGTGTACTCATCATGCTGCAGTTATTACTTTTTATTGTATTCACTTGAATATTTAGTTGTTTAAATTGCTTTATAAAATTCAGTGTATATGCTGCATTTATTACATTGTATTTACATTAATATTTGGTTATACAAGTGGTTTTGTGTGCTCTTGTTACAGTTATTACATTGTATCAACTTGAATATTTAGCAGCGTAAACAATTTTCTTATTTTTCTGCATTTTTTATTTGAGCATCTTTAAAATACTTTTTTAATAGTTATTGAACTTCTTGTGTTGGAATTTATTGGTAGCTTTTGCTTGGTATAATCAAAATATTATTCCAATTCTGGTGTTAAAATAGCAATGTATAAACAAAGGTTTATTGTATTTTCAGTTTTAGATGCGATGTATTAAATTATGTTACTATTCAACTTTTTAAAACTATTTTTCTTTATTTAGCAACTTAATGCTAGTTTAGTAACTTTTACAAAATAAATGTTCACTATTTAATAAGTTGAGTATTATTTAATGTTTGAACTAGTTTATGCAGCTTGATTGTTGGAGTATCAGTTGTACGTATCTACAAGATCATTGTATATAAAGGAGTTAAATTAAACTGTTAATATAGTTAAATAGTTAAGTTTAAACTGAACTTAGATTATCAGGTTTCTGTGCTATTACTTTATGCTGCGCTAAATTTAAAATTGCGTTTAAATTTTTTTTAATATTTGTTTTGTATGCAGCTTGATTGTTGGAGTATCAGTTGTACATATCCACAAGATAATTGTATATAAAGGAGTTAGTAGTTAAGTTTAAACTAAACTTCGGTTTTCAGGTTTGTTATGCTTTTAATTTTTGCTGCATAATGATTAAAATTGCATTTAACGCTTTACATTCTATTTATTAATATTACAATAAATTAAATTTTTTTGTATTGAAATAGGTAATATTTCAAAACAAAAGGTAATAGGTAATATCTATGGAAATTTTTAATTTAGCCAAGTACCCCTTGTTTTTATTTTTCATAGATGCTCAGGTTAAGACTCAGGTTACGGCTGCTATTAAAGCATTGATCTTTTTGTTACCGATGACTGGAAAAAAATGGTTAACAGCAAAAGAATTTAAACAGTACAAAATTGAACTATTAACTTTTGTTATAAAAGTTCATTATATAGTGTAGATTCACTTTTTAAACTGAACTAACAAATTTTGTTGTTGTTGTCCTGTATATATATATTTATTATTGTTTAAAATGTAACTATGCCAATCTTAAATTGTGATCTCGACATTTGTAAATTTTTACTGTGTACTATTTGTAGATTACAGTTATTAATATGTATATGTACTTTGTTGTTGTTTTTATCGATTATACGTTTTTCGAAAATAGATTTAAACTTACAATAATAATTAGGGTAAGGAAGTTTTACTCTAACTGCTGTCTTAAAATTAAGAAATCTTTTTTTCAGTCTTGATCTTACCAAAAATAGATCACGTAAAACAATCAAATTTTGCCTTGAATGAATTTTAACTATTTTAAGAAAATTATTACTTATGGATTTCCTTATTTTAAGGGAAATAGTTTTAAGGAAAGAAATTTCCTTAAAAACAATTTTCCTTAGTTTAAGGAAATCTTTACCAGTGCTGTTTTTAGGGGATTATTTCCTTATTTTTTCCCTTTAAAATAAGGAAAGATTATTAAGGAAAGAAATTTCCTTAAAACCAATTTGCTTAGTTTAAGGAAATCTTTACCAGTGCTGATTTTAGGGGATTATTTCCTTAATTTTTCCCTTAAAAATAAGGAGAGATTTTTTTGAGTGCATATATATATATATATATATATATATTTATATATATATATATATATATATATATATATATATATATATATATATATATATATATATATATATATATATATATATATATATATATATATATATATATATATGTATATATATATATATATATGTATATATATATATATATTTATATATATATATATATATATATATATATATATATATATATATATATATATATATATATATATATATATATATATATATATATATATATATATATATATATATATATATATATATATATATATATATATATATATATATATATATATATATATATTAACAAGTTTTGTTTTTTCTTGTCACAAACCCATAAATCTGAAAAGACAAAATAAATTAAAAAATAAATTAAAAGTAAAAAGACACTCGAAGTACAAATAAACTACATAAATGAAATACTTAAAACACAAAGAAAACAAAAAATAAAAAAGTTGTGGCAAATTTTTGCAATAAACAAAAACAATTGATATTTTAATTTAAAATTGAAATTCTTAAAAGGTTAGATTAGCAGACCAACCAATATAGTCTAGTTTATGTAAATACGATTTTATACTCAATAAAATACATTTCCTAATATCTTAATACATTTCTCATTCATTTCTATTTACTACTCTTATCAAGTCTAGAACTTGTTTCTCCAGTTGGAAAATTACAAATCATTATCTAAAACAACAACGTCGTATCTTCAATAATGTTTTCTTAGTCTGCGAGTGAAATAAATAAACTAAATGACTTTACTACACGGGGCGCTATAGAATTATCCCTTTAGCGCCACGTGACCCTTTTACGGTTCTCTTGTCAATAAAGTGATTGTAAAAGCACACACTTTAGCATATTAACAACATATTTTTGTTAATCTGATTAAACCATGTCCATAAAATTGGATATTTGAGGAAAAAAACGACATTAAATAGTAATTCAAAAAACCTTTTTCTAACATTAACAGTTTTTTGGAAAGAGTTGTTTCCTGAAATATAAGCAGGCGGTTTATCATTGATACAATTGTGGTTGCTAGTAGTATCTATTATTAAAGGTTCGGTTGTTTTGGTTTGATTAAAATAATCCAGAGGATTTTTTATAAAAGAATTATCTTTATTAGTATAAAAATCCGCAAAGTTATTAGTGTTTAAAATAGGCAGCGTATTGCCCCTACACCATAAAACATAATTGCGAGATAGTATTTGTTGATTGTCTAGTTAATCTAAATCAATATCTCGCGTATTGCCAGGTGAATTGACAAAGGTTTTATGAAAGATGAGGAGAGAAATGGATTTTATACAACTTGTAGCCATTTCGCAAGGTATCAAACAATTTTTATATAAATGATCGTTTTCTATTTTGGATTGTACTGAAAATAAAATGCAATGAGATACAACATCTGATGTTTTTATGGTGTCTAATTTTACTGTGATGGTAATTGCGCCTTCTACATTGGTGACTATTTGTTCATGGTGAAAAAAGCGAAGTAAATTGTAAGTAATATCTTTATTGTTATTCACGTATGAATTTTTTTCTATTGTTTAGTTCTTTAAGTGTTGACATAATTAGTAGGATTTTTTAAATGCTACACCGACATGATTTAAACCAGTGAAGGTATCGACAATATAATCTCTTATATAATTAAGAAGTTCATTCATATCATTTTCAATATAAAATTCAATTTTGAGTTCTTTTCCTTACCCTAATAGCAAAAAAATTTTAGATTAAGATTACCTTTATCATATGAGGCATAAAGATACTCTTAATCTAAAACCATTTTCCGCCATTGCAAAGTTATACAAGTCGCAAAATTTTTCTTGATAAATTGATGCCACTGTAATAGCTCACATTAAACCATTAGGATCAGCGTATTGAATAAGATTTTTTGTTTCTACAAAAGTGATGCATTCGGTTTTATTTTCAGTCATTCCCAAATCGCGTTTGAGTAGGTTAGTTCTAAAATTTAAAAAATAACTATTTTAAACCATGCTGGCTTTGAAGCAATCGTAAGCTCGATTAGAAAAACGTCATTGGCGCAAGTTTGACTATTTTTTAACGCATTAAGAAATACTTTGATGATTTTGAATAAACGAAAAAATTATTTTTACAAAGATAAATTTTATTCAATAAATCCTTATTAGCTGCTGTTCCCTCAACATTTGTATGAGCACTTAAATTTTTTTAAATCAGTAAATAAAATTCCAATTAATATTTTTGCGGAATTGTCCATTCTGATAACTTCATGTTAAACGCGACTAAGTTGGCTAAATCTGAACTCGTATTAAAACTAAATTTATGATAATTGACTGCAATTACTTCATCTTGAGATACTGCTGTCATAAAACCTGGATATCTTTTACTTAATGTAGCGCTATATTCAGCGCTGACATTTTCGCTCACTGCTTGTTGCACCAAACAATTTTTGTTTTCCGCGTTTCCGTCTCTTCTATATTTAGCCATTGATCTCATCACGTTAACTAAAAAAAAAAAAAAATTAAAACAAGGTAAAAACTTTTATAAACTTTTCTATTTGATCGTCGTCAGAATTAAAACTGTTTTTTTTTTTAAAATAGTATTTTTTTATATTTAACATCTTTTAAAGCTCAAGTGTAACCAAGCCCAATTAATTTTTTTTTTGTTTATTATTACTATATTTTTCTATAGGTTTAGATAGTAGCGGGCTGGAACGAATAGCACTTTGTTGAACAATTCAATTTCGGTACAAACGTAAGTGGAACCAACTGCTGTTACGACTTGAAAATATTGCGAACAAACGTGGGCAGGAGAAAAAGCAATTCCATTTTTATTTTTTAGTTTTTTTGTCTTTTTTTTCTAGCTATTGAATATTGTCTTCAGAACTTTTGTTTTCTTCACTAAAATGTTTTCGTTTTCTTCTAAGGCTTCTTTCTTCTTTCTTCTTCAAAATCTTTCTTTTTCGGAATCTTTCGTTTTCGTTCTTTTTCTTTTTTGTGATCTTCAAATTCTTCTTTTTCAAGTCTAACTTTCTTATTTTTCCGTTTTTATATTTTTTCAAAGATTCGCATTTTTGATCAAGATTGATTAAATATTTTAAATATCTTATTTCGTCGAATAACGACCGAGTTGATTTTGTAGATGTTGCAATTGTTTTTGAACTTTTTTTTTTGAAATTGTTTTTGAAGAACAGCCGTGGCGCAGTAGTTAGAGTTCTGGCTCAGAACCTGAAGGTCCAAGTTTCGACGCCTATTCTAGCCCAATAAGCGACATTGGTAAGGAAGGAGGCGTGAACTTCTAGTTAAATGCTCTCCCGCGGTGCTCCGTGATAAGACCATAAGGACTTCTGAGAGGACCTAAACTGCCTAAAAAAATTAAAAAACTTGATCTAGTTCGTCTTCTATATATTTGAAGTTGTAAAGCATGTTGTTTAACTAAATTGTTTTCGTATCTTCCTTTAGCGCAAAAGAGAGACATTCCTGAAGAAGAATTAAACGTAAAAAAGGATCATTAGTGTTTTTAAAGTCGGGTTAAAATAGACAGTAAGACTCAAGTAGTTAAAAAGAAGCACTTCTTAATTTATATTGAGAAAGGTTCATTTGATACGCTTCCAATCGTCTGCATCAATAACATTAAAGGTACTTAATTGACCTCGTATTTCTGGTCGACGGTTTTTAAGAAAATCAATGTTGACTTGCGTTGCATTGATGTAGTCTGCCAAGTTGATGTGCGCTACAGTTCCAGGTTCGTAGGCTCTATTCATGTAAATGCAGCTATTTTGCGCATGATCACATTTGATAAAAATAAGGGAATTGCTGGCAAAAGAAATATTACTAACTATGTTAATAAAATTGATAAATTGTGTTACTACGCATCATAAATAGGAAAATCTTTTCTTTTGAATTTTTAAATCTTGATTGATTGCATTGACTATACTTTGATCCATATCAAAAGTAAATTTATTCGATTCATTACTTAAACTGTATTGGTCTCTTGGTAAAAGTAAGTATAAAGAACAGCATTATTAGCGATTTAACAGCGATTTCAGCTGAAAATAAAGAAAAATCTAGAAGAGAATACAATTTGATTCTACACGGTCTTGATGAATTAAATAAATCAACTGAAGAAAATATACAACATAAAAACGAGCAAATAAAAAAGATCTTTAATTACCTGAAGGTCGATGAATCATTTATTAAACGACACCACCGCCTAAAATCAAAAACCGACAAACCTGGTATTGTAATAGTAGAATTAAATAATAAAGAAAAAGTTTCAGACATTTTAAAGTCAGCAAGCAATTTGAAATATAATGTCGAATATAAAAATAAAGTATATATAAATCAGGATTTAACATTTGCACAACGTGAAAGCAGAAAATTGCTTCTAAAAGAAAGAGATCGTTTTAATAATGCTGATAATAACCAGCCCTTTCGATATATTGTCAAAAATGAGTCAATTGTCAAAGTCAAGAAAAGTGAAAAAACTAAAAATTAATTCATTATCTAGTGTAAATAAAAACAAATC